CCGGGAGACCCTCAGGACCGGCCCGGGTGGGCACGGGGAGAGCACGGGGGCCGAGGGCAACCTGCGCTGGACGCCCCTGAAACCGCTCCGTCGCCGTCCGGCTCTAACAGGCCCGGCGCCGGGAGGGCTGCACCTACTCCAGAGGCGCTTTGTAGGTACAGCGATACGTTCTTTGCCCTCAACATTTCCTCCAGCCTCCCTGAACTGAAAAACCTTTGCTGCGTTCACTCCAGAAGCGTAAAGCCGATGATCTCTCATTGTGCTTAGCCGACAGACACAGAGAGAGCTTAGGTGCCCTGAGAGCAGCCCGCTGCGTAGGCCCTGCGCGATGACGTGACAGCGCTTCCACGCAACATGGTTCAAGGAAGCCTTGCTTTTCTCCACCGTGCAAGGCTCTGGCGGTATTTGTTAGCTCAGCATCTACACGTTAGCTCAGAGGTACACATTTTCAAAGGCAATTACATTAACCTTACTAACACTATCACTTGCAATCGCTTGATCATAGCAGTCGGGTAGATTTCCTCATCTTAGTCACCCCTTCTTCTGAACATAAACAGCGTCTCTACTCTGCTGTACTAAAACGATCTTCCTAAAAGGCAAGCGCGCTGGCATCACTTCAGTCCCACTAGGAAAAGAGTAATTTGTTACTTAGCTTACTTAGGCTCTGTCTGCTGCCGCAGTTTTGTTTAGCCTTTAAATTCCCACTCAAGCTAAATAAACTGTGTTAGTTACCAGTTCTCGAGAATTCCTTGCTCCAGACAGCGTGCATTCCTCTTTGCTTCTGATACTGCCGTGCTGTGCACTGTAAACAAGTTAAAGGTCCTGGGCCTGTACTGGGTAAAAGAAATACTAACAAAATCATGCATAACTTTGCTTTCATTCCTTATTCAAACAATAAAATAAAAGCCAACCGTATTATTCTGTGGATTGTGGGGTGTGGTTTGTAACTATGTTGAACTGTAGCTGAACCAAGCTGACTATTAAGTGACAATACTTCCCTCTGTTGTGGGTTACCAGTTTAGTTTTGCAAAATTTAAAGAGAAGAGGTAATGTCTTTTATTAGACCAACTGATACAATGGGAAAAATAGACAAGCTTTACAGCAAGCAACCCTTTCTTCAGGTTTAGCTTTGGCATACAAGCTCCTACTGCAGAAGAAAGGTTCTTCGGTTCTAGAGATGAATGAGCTGACAGTGCATAGTCTTTTAGTAGCATCCTTGCTAATTCAAGTGTTAAATTTATTTCCTGTCTTAAAATTCTGATAACCAGTTCATTAATTAGACAAAATTTATGCACCAGAAATGTTATTGCAGTTGTATATTGCTTATTAAAAGTGATGTCCAAAAATGTGATTTTATCCAAAACACAACCATTTCTCCACGTTTTCACCCACTCTTCCCAGTGTTTTTAATTTTTGGTTTGATTAAAAGGAGGTGATTTTGTGAACAAATTCATTCTAGATACTTACTTTGCAACACAGAGCTTAAATTATTTATATTTTGGAGCGTTTGTAAAGAACAAATCCAGCAGTAGTGTAAAACAGTGTAAAATGCAAGGTACATTCTTTTACTGTTTAGCATAATGCATTATTTGACTTGTCCTATAACATATACCTTTAACAACAACAAGAAAAAAAACACCTATGGATTTCCCAACACCACCTACCTACCCTTCACTTGTGCTTGTAGGTCTTGATTCTCCAAGTTACCTCAGTGGATGAATTTATGCCTACGGAGAGCTTCATTCCTAACGAATTAAGGAATCTCTAGGGAATGTGGAGAAAAGACCTAGTCACAGTATCAAGGAACTCAGCTGAAAAACTTCCCAGAACAGAGGCAGTCTCTATCTCTGTATTTTAGAAAAAATCCAGAGCTGTTGATCCTAAAAAGATCATTGCTGTTTACCTAGAACAGCTTGACAGATGTTTCTTCATAGAACATGAAAGTTACCTCTTAAAAATCATAAATCTTATCCGAAGTACCCTGATGTTCTTTGCAAGCTCTTCCCTTACAAAATGTGTGCATCAAATGAAATGTATGCTTTGTTCACAGTTCAAGACAAAAAGAGGCCAGCTTTGGGAAACCTACATAACTGGAAGATGGTTCTTAGATTGGCAACCTGCAGTTCCCACTTTGTCTCCATGTTCCACAAACTGTGTGGAAACAATGCCTCCAATGTGTTTAAAGGCTGTAGTAAATAGATCATGGGCTGCTACTTCTGTTACTTACCGCACTATTGTTGTAAATTAACTGCTTTCTCTTGATACAAACATTTTGGTCTGGCTTTACACGTAGTGACTCTGAATAAGTAAGCAAAGAATGTCACATTTTTGTCTTAACTGAGCTTTAGCAAATTGATGTTTAAATTATGCTCTGCAGGTTACGGTAAGTTCTGAGCTTTCAGCCTGTCAGAATGAGAGCCAAGAGGGTAGGCTCGTTCCATGCAATAAAGTGGCAGATGCCTGTGGACAAAGGTCCAGAAATTCAAGGAGTGATTCATGCTCCAGATTGCTTTGCACCGGGCAAGCCACCGGCCACAGACCAGAAGGTGACGAGGACCAAGGCAGTGCTTTGCCAATGCTGCCCCAGAGAGAGATGAAACAGTGGGGAGGCTCTTAGGTTTCCAGCTCTATCTAAGTAAGATGATAAGGCATATGGTTTGGACATTTGGCGTGTGGCTATGCCATGCATGTAAGAAGTTTCAGCAGCGCATAATGACATTCTGCCGCTCCAAGATCTGAACCCAGAATAAGTCCCTCTTGAAGGCTGAAAAAACATGGGGCAAGTCATTGCTGCAATCAACACAACTTCAAGGAAACCAGCTGAGGAAAATAAACCATACCAAAAATGTCAGGTTAGTTTCTCCAGGAAAAAATATTCCTCCTGTGGCCATTTGGAAGCAGCAAAAGAAGCTCTGCAAACATAGAATTAGAACATACTGAGGAACATAGCATTGAACAGGAGCTGCCCAAAAACTGGCAGTCCTTGAGATGCCTTAGCCATATGCATGGTTTTGCTGGTGCCAGAGATCCTAGATCTGCCAACAAAACGGAGAGATAGTCCTGGCAAGCTCAATGCACACAGAATGAGCAGAGCCTCTATGTCTCTATGTCATGGGTTGGTGTACTTCAGCTGAACAAAATCTCTGTTAAAAATGGTGCCATTACATATTGTTCAGGTTCAGAGAGCAGAGCCATGTTGCTGAATAAGGCTTTTGGTGAGGGCTACAAGTAGCCATTAATATTAGATTATCTATGCTTAAACATTCAGGACTGTGAACCATCAGTGTGAAGATGCTGAGAGTAGGAAACAAGAAGTAATTTTTTTTTTTATGGGGCACCTGTTCTATCAACTGCCTCTGTCCTCCAACTTATAAAGTGAGGATTTATTATCAGTTTTGATCAGAGAAAATGTTCTATGGGATAAAGAGCCTGTGTTTGACTCATTGGGACCACAGCATCTGCTTGAACCAGAAATTTGTGCCTATAGACTTCCTTGGGAATACACCTGTAACTTAAATCTGAAAGGACTGGGAAGCTTAAGAGGTGAAGAACCTTGTAATTGGGAAATGGAGTTCTTTAATAAAGGTATTCCAAGCACCCATTGCTTTACTGTTATTGCATGAGTATTGGAATACACTTTGGCTCCAGAAAACCTCCTCTCTCCCCTCCCTTCTCAGAGGCTGTTAATGGACACCTGAGATCTAATTCAGCTTTAATTTTAAAACCAAATTTTCCTCAGTAAATTATCAAACAATTTTGAATAGTAGAAAAAAATGGTTACCGTAAAAAGAGAGCACTACATGGTCAAAGGAACAGAAATCCAGATGGCACCTACGTGGCCTCATAGGTCAGTGATGTAGCATATGGATGCTGCTGGCCTAAGATCTCTGACACCTCAAAGTGGGCTGAACATATGGACACTTGCTTACCGGTCAGCTCTGGGGGACCTAAGGTGCTGCCTACACATCAAAGGCAACAGCTTAATGCTGCATAGGGTGTTGGCAGTCTCTATCAACACTCTCTTAACAATAAAATGTGTGGCTTTTTAAATTTAATTTTTTTTTTTTTTAAGGAAACAATCCTTACAAGTTTGACAAGTACTTCAAAATTCATCTCACTGGAATACCTATGTACATTGAAGATAGCTACTTTATTAATGCAAGAATAAGTAAATTAAAATAACTTTTAATATTTTTGATTATAAGTAATCATTTTGTACAAGTAATCATCATTAGCAATTTTATTTCTGTGTAGTCATTCTATTGCTGTGTGTTTGGTCAACAACTATGTCCACCTGTTCTGAAAATGAGAAGAATTAAAGAAGCACAAAGAATAATAGAAAGTGTCCATCAAATTGTTTCCTCCCTCCATGTTATCAATATTCTGATCTACTTAAAAACAAACACAAGCAATACTCATTATAAGCTTCTTACTACCATACAATATGCTTGATAAAAAAATAATTTGTATATTAACTCATATTTACAGGCATTTAAAAAATGTCAACATGTGTATTTTCAGTTTTGCTATTAGAGAAACAGAACGTGATCAGACATCTACTGAACAAAATAAGCTGATAAATGCCACAGGGAATAGGCAAGCTCACAGGCGAGCAAGGGTCAATTAAAAATGAAAGGTATTTACTGCAGGTACTGATAAACATAGTTGGGAAATTCGTAGTATTTAAGATCAATTACAGATAAGATAATTCCTTAGCAAGTGATGCCACCGGTGTTGTAGTGATGTAGTTACATACATGTATGTAATAAGAATTCTTTGTTTTTTTTTTCTCCACTTGAACTTGGGCCTCATTTTAATAACCTGGACAATATTTTTTACCCAGATGCAAATACATGTGCGGATCATCCCAGACAAACTGAGATTTAATGAAATAGCAATTTAATAACAAACTATTCCCTGAGAAACACTGCAAGTCTAATTCACCTTTTTAGCTGCTATAAAGAGAAGTCTTCCACTGCTCTCTCACCTTTGAGAAAATAAATATTTAAAGTACTATCAAGTACTTTAAACCAAACCATACAGATAACAGATCACTGTTTTGTGAAGGACAAGCTAATAAAAGAATACAAGCCCAGGTTACAAGGGCATACTTAGATTAATTCATAAAGATGTCAATTGACACCTTACATCATGTTTAAAAAAAACACACAAAATGAAGTAATGTTTTAGCCCTTCAGCTCATTCCATTAATCTGCATATTCTGAAGAAGAATTTTCTAAAAGTTTTTTGAGAACACATAATAAACTACAGACTTAAAATTTACGTTGTTATTTTTCCAAATCAAACTGTTGTAGAGGTTCCCAAACTTATTCTGCTTCTGTGTTCCCACTGACGAAGGCTGCAGCAGCAGCAGTTACTCCCTGGTACGTACCTACCCCGCAGGTATTTGGCCAGTCAGCCAACTTTCACAAATCACGAGACTAGTCTATTAAGTGCAGTTTGGAAACCTCTGCATTAGCAAATATCCTGAGCTAGAACTTAGATATATCTAGGCGGCCCTTTCTATGACTTTGTTACTAAAGAAAAACAAATATTTAGCAGTTACTTGAAAAAAGAGACTGCCCAATAGGTTAGGCATATTTACTGGATGTCAAGGAGACTGGTGTTTCACCACACTCACTACAGGAACTACTACATCCTTGTGCTATGTTTCCTATGCTTTAGGATTTTTAAAACTATTTTATTAAAAACAGACCAGCAAATCTCTGTGATCCTAGGAGTGAATAAGAACAGTACTGTGTGCAGTCTCAGTGGAGTATTTATCAATTCATCCATCCCAAAGGTTCTTTAATGTGGGACCACACAGCGCTTTTTTTTCCCTTTTCAACTCCTACTCAAAACACAATTGTGGGATAATGTTTACGTATCTGTTACATGAAAGTTAGTATGTTGGAATTCAGAAATTTCTTTAGATGAGGAAAGCAACAAAAAGAACTAGAGAACCAAGGCAATCTCCCCTGAGAGAGATTTGTTTGCCTGCTGATTTGGTTTTAAAATTCAAGAGCTATATTGAGCCCCATGGTGAGGGCAAGCCCCTTGCCCTTGTCTTCCCCTTGGTCCACACTCGCTTGAAACTTAGTTCTGTCACTCTGAAAAGCGTTATCAGCCCAGAAAAAAGGAGGAAGCTCAACTTCTACCCTCTGCACTGCTGAAGCACAGAATTCATGGCAGTAGTACTGTCCCAGATAGATGGTGAAGGGAGAGCACAGTCAAGAGGCACAGCATGCTCATACAGCACAGAACGAGTCTGGCCACGAAGGGGAAAGACTAGTATCGCAGACACCGACGTATTGCTGTATCAACCCTTAATACTGCTGCTTTCACAAAGTTAGATTTAGGCTCACAGTAGAATATTTTTAACACGCTTCTTGATAAACAATAATTTCAACTGTATTTGTCAAGAGAACATTTGTTTTCTTTGCTCTAAGTAGTTCACAGTTCTCCTTAAATATCTGTCAACTACAGTCTTAATTTCAATGAGCAACTGTAATACTAAAACCTGAGAGAAAAGCAACTGTTCGCTAATGGGACCGTGAACTACTAAATAAGAGGTACATAACTGCATATAGGTCAGCACACAGCCATCAGTCTCTAAAATCCTTGCATAGAACAATCCATGTGTGCATGTAGTGACAAATACTCACCTGGCAACTTTTGTTACACTTGTTTAACAATCCTCAATAATTCTGTTTTAAAGTTCACTTACCCTTGCAAGAAAAAGAAAATTGACCTTGTATGCACGCACAAAATCTACTCAGATTAATTTTTATAGCACAAAGGCACACAACCTACCAAGGTTTTACTTGGTACAAATTAATAAGTACTGAGGGAATAAAAAGCATAGATAGATGGATATAAAAACCTACCTTCACATTGTCAAGAGACTTGCAGATTCAATAGAAGTCATGCACCTGTCTTCTTCACTCTTAGTTGTCTTCCACATTAAAGAACCAAAACTGTGATTTTATTTTAATTTCTTTTCCTTGTTCCCCCCACCTCTAACCAGAGGAAAGTGCAGAGACATTAGAATTTCAAGAGCAAGAGAATTCGTTGATTGAGCAGGTTGAACACACAAGACAGAATACTACTAAAGCTAAAGTGCTCTTAAGTTCAGAGACGTACAACTTTCAAATCCTAAAACACCTGGAATACATGTAATAAGAACGACAAGACTATTAAAAAAAAAAAAGAACCTTCACAAGTCCAATTAAAAATTTATTTTTCTCTTTCTGCAAAGAAATACATGTTTACACACAGTATGACAGAAGAAAAATCAGCTGGATATTAACTAAGGCTGTAAGTGTATTTGCCTTTATACCAGAATATAAGCAAAGAAAAAGAAACCCACAAAACTTTGGATGGTATATCATCCAGCACCTCTAATTTTACTGTTGATCTTTTTTCTTAGTACAGGTTAGAACATTCCAAATACAACCCACAGGAAAAGATCTAGTAACCAGCACATTTTTGGCAAAAGTGCCAGAACACACCCTCCCTTCCCTCAAATCATTCATTACATTAAAAACCAACAAACAAACACCTCAGTGGCACTTTCATATGACTTGAGTAACACTTTGAAATACAGTGCATACTCTCTGCAATTCTTTTTGCTGTAAGGCTAACTTAGATATAAGGCAAACATTATCTCAGCTCTCAAATATTCCATGATAAGACACCTTTAGTACATGTATCTCCGTTAAATCCAGATATATCTTGTTTCCTTCATTTTAATTCATTGCTCCCCGCCTTGATCAAAAAAGCAGTTCAGGGAGATGGTGTGCTATATTCATCACAAATTTCAAGGTACTAAAAGAAACAGCAATGAAGAAAAATAAACAGTATTCACATATCCAAAACTGATTTCTATCACTTAAATAATTCTTATTGGCAATTACAAAATACATACACTTAAATATTTTTGTAAGAAATAATCTTTTAAGGTAGATCACAGATTATGTTTTGCTTTTGATAATCTAACTGCCCTAGTTCTGGCCCAAGGATATACCTGGACAGTGTTACTACCTAAGACTTTTCCTACTATAACTGATTTTCTTAAATATACAGTAAATTCTCTCTAGCTGTTCTGACAGATAGTGCAAATAAAGACATTCTTTGGGTCACAATTTAAAATATTACCCCCAATGTTATCCTCAACTTAACACCATTTTAGTAAATAAATGAGTAACAAAAAACTGCAAGTATACACATTTTCTAACATCAGTTTATCAATACATTTTCCTTAGTTACCTCTGTTTAAAGCAGATCACAAAAAATGAATAAGCTACAATACTGCCCACCTATACAAAAGATATGTTGTATTTATAGTTAAATAAATATATTTAGAAACCTGCCTATACATTTCCTAATGCTTATCATTTATTGTTAGCATCCCATGGCATACTACATCGAATCATGATATCAAAATATCTTTATGGACAACAAAGAACACTTTAGAAGAACTGCTCAAAGGCAATGAAGTAATGCTTTGAGAACCTTATGCACATAAGTTAGGTCTACCTATATCCAGCACATTCTATAATAGAACAGTGTACATATCTTTTAGAGTCAACTATTGCTTTGCCCTAGCCAGAGATAAAAAGCTTGTCTTAAATAGGACCTATCAGAGCTGAAGCAGCACAAAGCGGCCCTGTTTGCTATCTAATGTTGCTTGCTGCATTGACACGTTTACTCGAAGCCAGGGGCACTTGATTGCTAGTTCCATTTGTGGTATTTGCTGCTGAGCCATTCACAACAATGTAATCAACTTTGCTTTCCAATTTCACCAGGCGTTGTAAGATGTCATCCAGAAGAACAGCGATTGTTCTCTTAAGATCAGCTGAAAATAACAAAAACAATTAAATCCTATTACTAACTATGTGTGGAAAAGAACTGCTATTTTGACATATTTACATCTTAAAGTTTTGCTGTCCTTCTTACTATACTCTTTGGGAAAGAATACAGATTAGCATGTATGTACAGAATTAAACAGCTCCTCAAATTTTTTAACACCATTTATTTGTTATTTTAGACAGGGAAGATACCACCATAATAGTAAACTGTGAATGCAGCCAATTAAACATTAGCACCTAAGGACATAACCACTAGTTAGACTGGTGACTATTCAAAGGCAATATGTCACATTTCGTCCGGACAGCAGCACTAGAATAGCCAGCTATGACACCTTTTAGCCCTGGACAGCACTAGAAAAATATTTAAACACTTCCCAACATAGAAAAGGTCGTTCTTAACCACTTCCATCTAAAAAATCGTAAGATCTATCCTACAGAAAAACTGTTGCAACAAAGTATCATATCAATGCAAGGCACAAAGCAGGAAAAAAATGTTACTTTTTTCTGAGTTTAAAATTTGCATATGTTTAGCTTAAATTGATCTGAAAAACAATAAAAGGAAAGTAAGAAAATTCCCATGTGTTTACTAACAAAGAGATGGAAAAGGAACTTGAGTGTTGTAAAGCCATTTTCTAGAGCACAAAAACAATACCATTAACAGAACCTTTAACAAAAGTTACCACAGTGCTGGCAATATTCATACCGTAGTCTTCTCATATTTGGAAGAAATGAACACACTTATTTAGTTTTACAAGTTGTTAAGATTTCCCCCCCTAACACACACTCTTTACAATCTGCTCTTAATTTTCTAGAAAAATGGGGGAGGAAAACACACATGCATGAAAATGAAGAAAGAGGAATAACCTAGATAAAAGAAAAACATTAGTCATCCAAAAAAAAAAAAAAAACAACTCAAGTTAGTCAGTCTCTCCCTCTCTTTAAAAATAACTACCTCTTGTTTAGTATAGTCACCTCTGAAAAACAATACCTTCACAATTGAAGTAGGAACAGCAAAAAACAGAGCAGGGCCCGCTATAAATGACAAAATGGCATGTACTGTGGGTCACGTGCTCTGTAGTACTATTCTATGCTCAACTGTTTTGAGGGAGGGCACTGTCTACTTAATTTGCAAGTCAAATGATCAGCATGTAGATCAAGAGTTGACAGTTACATTTTTTTATTATACTCCAGACAAAACCTTAAACAGCAAATCTCTCTGCCAGACTTAAATACAGCAGTATAAAATGGCAGGTACATAAGATTTTAAATCTAATTTCTCAGATTTTAAATCTAATTTCTCAGAAAGTAATCCAGGACAGAAATCATTGAAGACTTCAAATAATTACAATAAAATTTAACTGAACAAATAATAGAATTTTTTGACACTTGTTAAGTGTCATAAAGGTAAGATATTTTGGTATTGCCCTCCTTCTCCCAGCCTCCTGGGTTGCTACCTGCTCATCTTGTCATCATAGACTTGCCTCCTGGTTCCTGAGCAGCAGCAAAGAGTTCAGACACATTTTTGCTGTCCGTCCTCTTACAAGGGCATCTACAAAGGGCATCCTATTATTAGCAGAGACCTGCCTTATAAAGATTCAAGAAAGAAAGATTAAAGTATGTTAACATAAATCTTCAAAAATAAAATCAGAATTTATCTTTTTTTTCCATGATTTCTTCTTAAGCCTTATATTACTCTTACTTTCACTTTTTTTTTTTTTTTTAAATTATGACAGAATGCAGACAGGCAGTTTCTTCAAACCTAATTCCTAGGAGATTAACTAGGAGTTCACAGTAGGCTTCCCTCAAGAGAAGCTATGAAGGCTTGAAGCTGGAGAGTTAAAATTACTAAGATGACATTTTCGTGGTTTTGCTAAGCACAACTCAAAACTATAGTCTCAAGAACATATTTTCCATATTTTAGAAAACAGGCACAAGCTCCAGCAATAAATTATCTGAATACTGGACATACATTCATCAAATTAACTGGTAAATCGAAGAAAGAGATAAAATGCTGCAAGTATCAAAGCTCGAGAGCCAAGAGACCTTACTCTCTACTTGCTACTTCTAAAGCAAGGGGAGATGGTGCTAAATTTGTTAACTGCCTCTCTCAAGACTGCAAACTCAACCATTATGTTGCCTTCCACTGTTTATTTTGTTACTATTTACAGAGAAGAATACTTTTTGTTTTTTTTTCTTCAAAGGCAGTAAGTTAGCAGTGAGGCACAATGAGTACCTGGAATTCTGAAATGATTTAGTTTAAAACTTAGTTTCCATATCAGGCATGTATTTATTCCTCACTAATTTAAGATTCAGAAAAGCCATAATTCTACTGTCAATCCTGAAAATAAAAGTAGTCATATACTCAGAGATATTTTTTAAAAAAATCCCTGGAAAATGAAAGTCTTCTGCTTTCTGCTCTCAAGTGTTACATCGCACCACGTCTTAAATTTCACCTTCAGTGAATAAGCTAAAATCAAATCAGTTAATCCTGGAGTTTTTGTTCTCAAAGAGTATGTATTACTTTTTTTTCTTCTAGATAAAAAAAATCTGTATTTGACAGTTTTCATGGGAAAAAAAAAAAAAAATACTTGAACGTTTTTTTTCCTCTTACCATATCCTGCCATAGAAGCTCCACTGCCACCATTCATTAAATTTTTATTTTCTTCCGCAAGTGCTTTAACATATCTTTTACTTAGGTCTAATATCTGTTCACGCAACTCAGCGCTGCTTTGGCGTCTTGGATACTGAAAAGTGTAGCGTAGCAACATCAAACCCCAAATGATTCCAAAAACTAGTAAAAATAAACTCAGTTTCTGGGACATGCTTTTTCTTGAAAACGTTAAAAACATTTCTGATGAAGGCCACTGGTGTGTCTTTATTTCAAGATAAGAAACCAAAATTGACTTAGTCAATACATATTAAGCAAAAAGACGACTTCTATAAAGTGAAAAATCCTCTGGCTTGGTCATCTTGAATACATCTTTTCCATGTTTTAGTTGGTCTTGATTCCTGAAATTTGCAAAATATTACTTGATTATACAAAACTGCTGCATTTGTTGAGATCAAGGGCAAATATCAGTTTCCAAATGTAATACTACTGCATAATCTATAAAACAGCTGTGGGCTTATATCTGCTTAGAAGTAGACTCATCTTTATATTTTGTTACAAGGTTTCCTCTTCTTATTTTTACCATTTTTTATTCTCAAAAAAAAAAAAAATCAAAACTTATGCTTCCACTAATTACCTGAAGTGTTTAAAATACTGTAATTGCAACTCACATTAATTTAAAATAAAATGCAACATCTAGAAAAAAAGACATGTAAAACTTGTATATGAATTGAAGAACTTTTATACACAACATTTTAATGAGTTATAAAGACATATCTACGAAAAAAATAGACCTTGTGAAATCATTCACTTGATTTTTACTCTTCACTTAGAAGCACAGGGTAAGTATAAACAATAAAATGCAGAACAGAGTTTCTTAGATTAATCCTAGGCATCATCCTGTTCTGCTTTTGCACAGCACTAAGAAATTTTTCTTCCTTGTGTCTTGCTAATAAATAAAGAAATAAAACCAAAATGAAGTTGTACATATTTTTAGCATTTTGCTAGTACTTAAAAAAGTGTCTTACCATAGGAGTCAGTTTTGATCCCTCAATAAATCAAGGCTTCAGGAAGAAATCAAATAGTAGGAAAGCTTCAACAGTTAAAAAGTGAATGTCCAGATAGTTTGAAGCAATGAACCAGACATCTTCACAGAGCTCTATAGGTAAAGAAAAATGCAATCAAACATGAAAAAGCACTGGACTAACAACAAAAATTTTCACGTGAAAGTGCCTGAAGCTGAGCACTTCAAGCCACATGCTTTTAAAAAGGAAATATATTTTTAAAACTAACTTTAAACAACTGTTAGGGAAAAAAAAAAAGAATTCAATTCTATTTTATTATAAATACATACATCTGAATGCCCAATAACTGATTCCAACATTGACTTTTTTTTAAAACTTGTGAAGAATCTCACTAAAATGTCTCCCTTTTCTTGAGTCATAAGACAAGTGAGAGCAGATGTTCCAGAATCATCACATACAGGTAAACACAGAATCACAGAATAGTTGAGGTTGGAAGGGACCTCTGGAGATCATCTAGTCCAACCCCCCTGCTCAGGCAGGGTCCTCTAGAGCACATTGCCCAGGATCACATCCAGACGGCTTTTGAATATCTCCAGGGAAGGAGACTCCACTACCTCTCTGGGCAACCTGTTCCAATGCTCTGTCACCCTCACAGGAAAGAAGTTCTTCCTCAGGTTCAGATGGAACTTCCTGTGGTTCAGTTTCTGCCCGTTGCCTCTTGTCCTGTTGCTGGGCACCCCAGAGAAGAGACTGGCCTCATCCTCTCGATAGCCCCCCCCGCCTTCAGATACTTGTAGACATTGATGAGATCGCCTCTCAGTCTTCTCTTCTCCAGGCTGAACAGGCCCAGCTCTCGCAGCCTTTCCTCGTAGGAGAGATGCTCCAGTCCCTTCAGTATCTTAGTATACCTTTGCTGGACTCTCTCCAGTAGTGCCATGTCTCTCTTGTAGTGGGGAGCCCAGAACCGGACACAGTACTCCAGGTGAGGCCTCACCAGGGCTGAGGAGAAGGGCAGGATCACCTCCCTCGACCT